TATAGGTTGATTGCTTAGGCATGCTTGTTTGTCACTCTGTCCGCTGCGGTATAATTAGTTGATTCCATAGTCCACGGAAGGTTGAAACAAATTGGCAGCCGGATGAGGGCACAATTTAGGAGGGTTGTTCCACTGGAGGTGGGGGAGGGTAATTTTGACTGGGGGACCGTAAACGGCCTTGCTCGCTGCGGACTGCATATATTTCGATCTTCTCAGCGTTGCGGGCTAACTAGGCCTCCTGCATTTCTCGCAACCGCTGCTACACAATGCGACGGCGTCAACAGAACGACGGTATTTTGCATCGGTCAGGTGGCCAATGTATGTTCTCCACAGCCTTTTCTTTTCGGTGGGCAGGCTGCAAATGGCTGCGTCTTTTTCGTCAAACCGGTGTCGTCGTTCACTACGTGCACGTCCGTGGGCGTCTTGGGCAGACAAATGGAGGTTTTCCCGCAGTTGACACCAGTGAGTCTTCATGGAAGTGTTTTTGTCTAGAGCTTGCAGGCTTTCCAGTTAGTTGGTCAATTCTTTGCTGAAACGGAGAGGGGGACTAAGAGAACTTTAAAAAGGAGTATATAACTTAGTTAGTGGGCTTCTACGTTGGGTTCTTCTTCGGGGTTGAAGTTGGAGTCGCGTTTTCGAGATGACGAGTCGGCGATCTGTCCAGCCTTCGGCGTTGTGAATCGCTTTGGTCACCAGCATGTCCTGTCGGTCTAGCTTACGGAAGAGAACATAGTCCAGCAGCCGCCATTGCCGCGATCAGACGTGCATCTACGTGGCTCTGTCTGGCGTCGGAAGGCGGAAGAAAGTGTTGGTCAGCAGGAGATGGTGTTCGGCGCAGGTGCACAGAAGGAGGCTGTTTTCAGTGCTCCCTGTCAGGCAGTGTGGTTTGTCCCGACACGGGCATTTAAGTCACCAATGACAACCAATTTATCTGCCTTCGGCACAGACACCAAGAGGACATGCAGGTCCTCGTAGGGGTTTTTCTCATCTGCGTCAGATCTGGTCATCGGGAGGGAGCGAAGACGCTGATGATTATGGCGAAAAAAGGTCCCCAAAGAGACAGGCGTAGGGTCCTCGGTCGGTCGTTGCTGCCCTGTGGCAAACCGGGCGGTCATCCTACGATGTCGCTCTGAATAGCAAAGCCGATGCCAATGTCACGCCACTCTGCCTTTGGACGGCCGCTCCAGAAGAAGGTGTAGTCGCCACTCATTTCCTCCGGCCGACCCTGCTGAGAAAAGCGAGTTTGGCTGAGAACAGCAATATCCACCTTGTAGTATTCTACAGTAGATTCACTAGCTCATGCAATAGCTGCAGGAATTCTGAAATAAA